ACTTGCTAAAACAAAGCGATGAAGACATCTTGCTTGATCTAACGTTCGCTACACATTGGCTTTTACTCGTACTGTCATCTTTACCTTCTAAGGAGAAAAACTACTTGAGAGTTATTTCCTTTTTTTCAGCCACATTCAGAGCCTGTCTTCCCACGGGTAGAATTGCCAGAAGAAAGTGCAGAGATAATCAACGAGAAAAAGAAACCAGTGAGTCTTTGTGTTTTTTTTTCGTAATTTTGTTTGTTCTTACCGAGCCCAACATATCGAAAATACCAAGGATTGGCTAATTTAGAGAAATTTATCACTTGATGCCCGAAAAAAAAATAAAACCAGGGTTGGACTAGAGTGTGAACGGCAAAAGTTGCATGCAGGGGGTATTCGGACGAGCTATCCAAAAGTGTGTGCCGCTGCGTACAGCTGACTACACTAAGCTGCTTGTGTGCAGCGTGTTCGTCTGAGTGCGTAGGCTGGAACGTCCACCGCCTCCACATCGCCGTGAGAACTCGTCCGCATTGAGTGTGAACGTCGGCTAAGCCGGTTTCGGGACCTTGTTACGCCCAATCTAGGCCACTTTCTGGCATGACAGTCTCCTTTGGGATATCCTCGGAAGGTGCAGGTCCATCCTAGGAAGTAATGACAGGTACCATTTTTATCATGAACTGTGTATTTAATCCAATGGTTCGATGATCCACTAATTCAAGAAATCTAAAGGTCTGATAGAGGTTAAGGAAAAGAGGTACGATACTGATCTCTTTCGTCTGCCTAGTCCGCGAATTTAAGATTTGATTTTATTGATTGAAATTAGTGATTCCGTTAAAGAAAAACTGGAAGCTAAAATGCAAAGTAAATTTTCATTCAGCAAAATTCAATAATTCAATGATTTATTTATTATTGAAGCATTTTCTTTTCGAAACCTGTGTCATAAAGATTCATTTGGCTTGTTAAGACCACCAGTGGATCCTTCATGATCGACTCCAAGCCTTCTACCGTAGTTGCTGACATCCATGATACGACACGTAAGTTATGAATTTTTCTTATAAAAATGCTTACCGTATACCCATTGAAATCTGTAATTCCAGCACCCGCTACTGGTATGGCTACGACCTCACACCCACGGCCATCGATTGTTATTCAGCCGATCGTTACAAAGACGACAATCAACGAGTTCCACGTTTTGGGACGACAGCCTGACTTGGATGACGTAGAAGCTCCCCATCATATCATGCCTACGGAGCAAACGGGTACTGAAGCAATGCCGTCTTCGTCAGCCGTCACCGTTGGTACTCCTCCTAGTGTTCCTGAGCATACACCTGAAGGGACGGCTCATCATGTGCACGAAGTCACTGACGAACATACTCCAGAATCGGCGCCAATGCCGGCTCCAGAACCGCTTCCGCAACCGACTGCAACCAGTGACCACTCAGAACATGAATCAGTGCCCAAACCTCAGCCTGAGCCTCAACCTGAGCCCCAACCGGAGCCCCAACCAGAGCCAAAGGCGGAACCGCAGCCAGAGCCTCAGCCTGAACCACAGCCGGAACCCCAGCCTGAACCTTCGCCAGAAGCTACTCCTGAACCAAGACCGCAATCAGAATCCGAGGCTGAACCACATCCGCATCCAGAGCCTGAGCCGGTACCCAAACCCGAGCCAGAACCAGTGCCAAATGCTCGGCCACCACCACCACTACCCGAACCAGCTCCGGAGCCTACCCCGAGCTACCTCAAGAAGTCATCGTTCACAATGCGGATCACTTCTATCGAATTTATGGAAGAATTCGAGGACAAAGACAGTGGAAAGTTCAAGAAGCTTAGCGATCAGGTCGTGCCACAGGTGAGTTCTCTATGAAAGAAGGCTCTGACCGCTACTCTATTGACTTTGTTTAGATGAGTGAAATATTGAAGACAATTCTTGGTGATAACTTCGCCGGCTTTGAAATCTCATCACTAGCCAAAGGTTCAGTTATCGTCAATGGAGTAATTCTGACACAAGAGGATATCCAGGATGCCGAAGAATTGGCCACCAAGTAAGGAACTCTAAAAAAGCTGGAAAGCAATTGCAGATACTTCCTCTCAGAGGGGTCCATAAATCTTTCCCACACCTTCGTCGAAATCCTTAGTCTTGGAAATTAGTCTATGCTCTTTTTTTACACTCTTGAAACTCGGAATTCGAGAAAGGATGGGTATTTAAAGGGGAAAACGTGGGTGAGTGCCACTTCAGTTACTGTTAAGACTGGATCCAACGTGCCTTTTCCTAAGAAAGTTGAGTAGTTGCTTCACTCATCCAGCTTATTCCCCACTCTTTGCCAGAGTGATCTTGGGGGGTGGGCTTCCCTATCGATTAGCAACCAAACTCACCGCTCTGCATAGTTGGTAAGTTCCTCTCATGATGAATTTTTTCGTTGTCAACTATTTGCACGTGCTTGTGCAGGACCGGCAACCTTGTTTACAAGTGTAAATAGAAGTTAAATTAACCGTAACCACTTAAATTTAGGATCGAAACCGCCATCTCGTCAAATGGTTCACTGATTGGCCAAAATGAAGTGGATTTAAGGAGTATCACTGTAAATGGTGAGTACAGAAAATTTGAAAACAATCTCACGTTTGAAATGAATGCATTACGCATGTATTCCTTCGTGCAGTACCTTAGAAACAAATTTGAGCACCCTCCACTTCCTTCTTTGCCTCCTCCCCTCTTGGGAAGTGCAGCCTACTGCGATGTTACAGAGATAACCTCAACAATGGGCCGTAGTTACCATTCCCGAAGGATCAACTCATTTATTAATTTTGTGGAGATCGCACCTGCAGTTATTCATTATTGTCATTGAAGAATAGAACAACTTTAAAATATTACTGTTATTGTTACGAATGATCCGATTCTTCAAAAATATTTTTTTCAATTTTAGCTATTTGATATTTAGATGATCTGTCGCTATTAAGGTATTCCATCGCGAGCATACATCGAACGAGTACATTCCGCCTACCCACAGAGTGCCTCACCGTCAGCTCTGTTGATCGGTTCGATCATCGCTGTCGGTGTACTTGTTATACTCATCGTTGCATTTGTTGTTATCGCGGTAAGGCTTCAGAATTTTTTTTTATGTATTTAGTGGCTAGTGATCGAGTAATCGGACTTATAGGTCGCGAGTGGGAATTCGGGGATTCCTAAATTTTGCAAATGAGCAGGGAAAGCGTCAGTATAATCGGTACTGATTTGTATGAACCGTTACTCAAACGATTTTTTTTTTGATAATTCACGAAGAACCAGCTGACAACTCGTAGTGACAAAAACCGTGGACACTTAGGATAGGAGCGGGCGGCCCACCAGTTTCACGAGGTTCAGGCAGTGTTCATAGTCAGCGTATGGGCGGAGACGAGTTTATCAATGCACTCTTCTCATTGGTCGAAACCTGCTTGTGTTAAAAGCCCAATCCCGCTTCGGCTCCCTTAAATAAATGTCTTGCTAGGGCTAGTTTTTTGGCTGTCCTACCTAACCCGCTCCCTGCATAGTACAGCTTCAGAACGAGAATTCTTTCGCGAAATTCTCACTCCCAACACCTTAGTTACCGTATCATGTGAAATCGATCATATTCAACTCACTATCCATTTCAAATGCTTATGAAGAGAGAATATGCAGGTGGAATTTGGGAACGAGTGGTGTTGTAGGTCCAAGAGTAGGGAAAAAGGTTTATTGTTATGTTAGATTGTAAACATTCATTGGAACGAAGCCTACAATGAGAAGTACGAATGACCGCAAGTATCAGACCTTGGCCTTCAAGTAGTAATTTTTGTTTCGCTCCTATAAATTCACTGAAGTGCTTCCAAAAACGAGCATCACTCAGAACAGGATATGAAAGAAATTGCGATCAATAACTCGCTGATTAAGAACAAGTTGTAAATACGTGCTTCCAGAGATGCAGATCAAGCGCCGATGATGTCTCCTTTGTTACCACATTTGTAGGTGGAGGCATGATTGCTTTGGCTGCATTCATACTCGGTGCTCGCTGTCAGCTCTTCCCGCGTGCGATCGCGGTTTGAACAAAGCTCTGTGAGATAGTGTTTATCCGGTGAAAATGGGGAGATGTAAAAGAAAGGGACAAGAGAGTTGTACATTGAACCTATCTTAAATGTATTTTCTCTGGCAACCTGCGTCTCTGCGTACTGAACACTGTCTGCTCATATAGTGTCCCCAAAGAGCGGCAGCCGTTCGCCGAGTATGAATGCAGCCTTTGTTATTACTGTCGTCGCGTGACTTTCTTTACTTCACTATTCAATCTATCAAATACAATGTGACGCTATATTCCGGCACTACATGGTTGTCAAAGAGCTTTATTTATCTATGCTTTCTTCGGGTGTTTGATGGTCTCGTGAAGCCTATGAAAAATGTGCAGCTGTAGGGTTTTCTGACGTCGTATTCACAGAGCAAATACTCGAACATTACCAACATTGAAGATATCATGAACAAACGGAATAGTCTTCTGTGAATACGGCTTACCCACCACTGGCATGCGAATTTCCTTGCTATTGTTGACTTTCTGTCATTTTACCATTTCTATATAGTAGTACTTTGCAGCTGAATAACCGACGGACAAATGGTTCAATGAAATTGAAGGCCGATGAAATGCCACGGTTGGAATCAGGGAAAGCAGCCTATGCCAATCCTCAAGCGGTTACTGTGAATTTGTGAGTTATTTATCTTGAGAAGCGTTTAAGGCAGGATCAACGGATGTGAAAAAAGTTCTCTGAAGGAGATGTTCCCCTCAACATTTGTGGTCCTGAGTAGAAATTTGGGAGTCATATATGTTTCCAATTACGTTTTCTCGTAGCAACCTCTAACTTTTTCTGAAAGTAATCGCCTTCTCCAAAATCTTCTCTCATTTCCGATGAACGTGAGTAGGAGTCTTTCGAGGCACGAACTTGTAGCAGACATCCTATGTGATGCAGCGAGTTTCTTACCCTTCAAATGAATTCAATCCTGATAAGGGCTTTAGCGTTGACAATGAACGGAGCAAATTCATCAAGAGGAAATGGTGATGATACCGTAGATTGGACTCGCTTATAACTTCTTGCGAACCTTGAAGCTGCCCGTATGGGTCACAACTTTACCAATTCCAACCTTTTGCAGTCAGACAGAGTATCAAGCCAAAGCTCACGGTGACCACCTCCACCAAAATGGGGAAACAAAATGAGGGCTGAATCTCCCCGATAATCTCGATAGGATCGGGCCTCGGGCCGACGCCACATTATCGCTGAGGGCTGTTGATTCTTCACCTGGCCGTGCAAATTGGCCCTGATCAATTTTCTGTTTTGATCTGATTTGATTTTTCTCCGCTCACCTCACTGGGAGTCTAGGTCGCTGCCGCTTATTGAACGACGTTACTCATCCAGACAGTATTTACTACTGGTTGGCTCTCCAGAAGAGCTTTTAAATCTGTATTTTCTCACCGTTTTGCATTTCGAGTTATCTTCTTGGTACCATCTGATTTTAGAAGCAAATCTGTTTGTCTCCAGAAGATCAGGTGATACTTATCTGTTTTCAGAATGTCTTATGGTAATGGTACGACGGCCACGCCTCCTCAACAAGGACAAGTGGTAACGATTTCATCGCAGTTTCCCGACTCAACCCCGACATGCCATTTTTGAGCATTCATCATCTATTTACAACTAGTTTCAATTGATATTTCGGTGAGCTCAAACTGTATCATCCTCTTGCTCTCTCTCAATTCACTGACTGACTGACTAAAGCTTGCCTGGTTCAGTTTTATAACCACTCACTTTGGTTATAATTTGCAGGGCTGATGGTTTAGTTTTATCTCTTCGAAATGATCGATGGTATAGGCTGGAATGAGTGCTATTGCCTGATTTTCTGTTTGCATAACCATGAAAGAGGCTCTAACCTCACTGACTATATCGCCAGTGAAAGCAGTGTGAGTAACATTGCCTTTCGAAGGCCCAAAATGTGATGCTATCACTGAGAGAAACTGAATGTAATTTAGCGAGCGCTTAGTTCAATTCACCCTCCTACAACTACTTCCTCATCCATCTCTTCAACCCCTAACATCAGGTTTTAAGTCGGTTCTACTAACTCTGCTGAGCAGTACTTTCGGTACTGGCTCATGGGTTGTCTAATCTGAGACTAGCTGAGGTTTCACTCTGGAACCAGTACCTTTTGTTATTATGAGGCTTTATCCATCTATTTTTGAGAGCTCTTGTACCGAAAGTTGACTAAGGTTCTAACGCGAAACTGTTATTTCCACTAATACGACCCTAGTTGAACTCCATACTCCTGCGAAGGTACTGAGCTAAGTGGTACACCCTGTGAGTTACTAACTGGAATCATTCATAAACTTGAGCTAACTTTTTCGGGCAAGGTCCACGCTTTGGTTGAACTTGCACTCACCTCAATTGTAGACTATAAGAACGTCGGTCTGTCCTAAATTGACATCTAGTTTGCCGAACACGACACATTGAATATCATTCGTAGAGTCCTGTTATGGCCATATGCACATTCTAATTTGACAACGATTCCTAGCGAGGAATAAATGAATGGCATGTCCCATAGATGAACTATCGAAGGTCGTCTATGGAATATGAGTCTATGAAATCGAAGGTACCTTCGAAACTTGGTTTGACAGACAATCTAGAGGGAAATGATGTGTCATTAGGAAAGCCGTGTAGCGTTCTCGAGAGGGGAAATTACTCTTGGCGTAGTACGCTATTGAAAACAAGAATGCTCGCTTCTACGGAGCTCTACGCCCCTGAGTCGAGTAAGAACGGGATAGTTACTGACCAGGGAGGGGTAGTCTACTTATCTTGGAACTTTGAATTCAGACCCAGATAAATAGATAGAGTTTCGAATGCTGTTTACGAAAATGCAAATTAGAACTGCAAAATGATTCTCCTTAAAAAGTTATGGGGGCCCGAATTTTGCTCGACAGTAGTATGAGTTGGAAGTGCGAACTCGTCGCTTCCATATCAAACGCCCA